ATTTTTAAACATTTCCAGGAATAGAATAGAATAGAATAGAATAGAATAGAATAGAATAGAATAGAATAGTATTTTTATTTTACCCAAAATAACGGGTTTATAATATATTGTAAATCATATCTAACATTTCCAGGAAAAGGGACTGCAGCACCAGAAATCTCAAAACAGAGACATTGGTACCACTGCTCGAAGGAGTGTTAAACAAACATTTTGGTACAGGAGGCTCGTCAAATATGTCCACAGGGGACAAAATTACAAAGTGGGAAAAAAAACAGATAAACTGTAATAATGCTCTAAGAATAGAGGGATGAAGTCTTGTTGGCAAATAAAATAATTTACTTTGAAAGCAATCAATAAATATAACTTATACTCTATCTATATGCTAGAAAAAACACTAAAAATTGTGTTCCTACATGTATGCTGTCTTTTCATAATTTTTAATCTTTTCCTAATTGTTCTACCCTAAGCGTACAATTCCGAAGACTTTTTCGATGTAAGAGATGAAAGTTATCGATTTTATGAAGATTTCAAAGGCTTCTTTGCGCAGAGAAACTTTTCTTGCGAGCATGCATCCAGTACTTCGGATAAAAGTTTCTGTTTACAAAATGGAACTATTTCCATCAACATGAACTATCTTCATTTTGACTTGGATCCTGAGAGCGCGAAACTTACTCGTATGAGGATACATGGACACCAGAACTTAAGTCACAATGAAGATACTTCTTTTTGATTTAACTACGTCAAATTATGATCCGAGATTAGTAGTTCTTTTTTATTTACTCCCCGAACTCCTATCTCTGATATGTCCCCCCCTTCCCAAATGGTTGCCCCTCTTTCGTGATTTGCTCTGATTTTCCAAATACCTCCTCTTCAGCCGCTCTGTACAAGGAAAAATAGAGGTAGGGGCTGAGTCTTAACTTGAATTTTTCCAATGAGTCGTGGTAGTATCCCAAAAACTTGATAAGAGAGCGAGAGACACAATAGCCCGAATGCAGACAACAATAAAAACACACTAAAATACAAAAAACAAATGGGTATTCAAGGCTAGAGGAGACATAAAACAACCAGGACTAACTTGGTTACTATCCCAAATGTTGCGGCACTACTCGAACTAGAATTGCGGTATACTACCAAAATTAATTGAAAATGTCCATATCATCCAACAAATAGGGGTAATACCACAATTCGTCGTTTGCCCCACAAGAGTACGTAACTCTATTTCAATGTTGCCGAATTTTCCCTCGGAAATGTCTTTTATACCAAGACAATCTTGGACATTCTTAACCGAAAAATTTCACTGATTTGTCCTCCGATCTCACGCAAAAATCAGAAAACTTTTGAACAAAATCTTTGTAGGTGCATTCCTGTAGAAAATTGAATCGTTTGAATCAATTTTGCAACCTTGGAATGGAGTTGCGTTCCTTCGTCCTGGAAACGACGAAATTTAAGGGATAACCTCTTACACTTTTTTTCCCGTGTATATTTCTGTCGAAGAGTCCATCACACAAACAGAAATTATTCTTTAGGCAGAGTAAAATTCGTCTCGACGTATTGGACTTCGTCAATATCATCGAGGTCATCCATAAGCTGCGTGATTTTTTCAACGAGTTCTTTATCGGTGATCTCTAGTACGTTCTTAGGGATGAACGAGAGGCGAGCCAACTCCGGATCTCCCAGCTTCTTAATGAGGGCGTCCCTGACAATCCCGAACTGCTTGACGTCGCAGGTGATCTCCGCGATGCCTTCGTCGGCGTCCTCCTCGACATCGATGACGTCCAGGTCGGTGGCCAACTCGTAGATATCGTCGAATTTGGTCGCGTTCGTCCTGTAGACGATGAGACCCACTTGGTCGAAGAGATGTTTCACGCTGCCCGCCTCACTGAGTTGTCCTCCGCGGCGGTTGAAGACTTTCCGTATAAAAGCCACAACCCGATTCTTGTTTTCCGTTTGCACCTAGCAACCAAAAATTAAGAACAAAAATAATCATGCCAGGGGGTCAACTGAGGGATCTAAATTGAGATCAACTGAGTTCGCAGTATTTTCCGTAATTGTTTTCTGATGTGGGAAATTGGAGAAAAATTGATTTAAAAGTGAAAAAATTTGCCGCTTTGTAACGTCATCTGCCGGCATTTTCCATTTAAACACATACATTTTAGTAGATTAGGTTATTTTGTCATATTTTCTCCAATAATTGTCCAATTTAGAAACCAAGAATATCCTCGTACTCAATTTTCTTAGCAGTATCATTTTAAAGGTGAAATTCACAAAATTTAAGACACCTGCAAATTCTATTAACTAATGCTACCGATTAACTAATGTTACTGAGATTTTCAAATCTCAAAATAAAATATTTCCTGGATTGTAAAAAGTTGTTATAAACGGATTTAAAACTGCAAAGAGTGAAATGATACCTTGATCATTAACGCGGTGCCGCCAGGACCGTACGCTTCGTAGTGGACCTCCTCGTAATTTTCCATAGCAGCGTTACCCAAGGCTTTTTTGATGGCGGCATCTATCTTTTCTTTCGGCATGTTTACTTTCCTCGCTTCCAGAATGGCGTGCCTCAGACGCGGATTCGAACTTGGATCTGGCGCACCCATTTTCGCTGCTACCGTGATTTCCCGGATACTTTTGGAGAAGAACTTCGATTTCTTCTTGTCCTGCCGCCCTTTCCGATGTTGGATGTTCCCGAAATGCGAGTGGCCTGACATTGTTAAACCATGCTGTGCAAAATAAATGCAAAGTGTATAAGATCGTGTCCACTGTCGTCCGTTAAACAGTGCCTTTTTTATGAGAACCTACGCTGCCGTAATAAGGAAGAACGACGTATGAGCCTTCAGATGTTACCAAATTTCCTTCAATAAAAAGCGAATTTATTGGGAAAATTGTGAATATTTTTCTTCACATCTCTTAGACAGTTTGGCTTACAATTTGATCTAAAATACCTGAAAATTTCATGGAGAAATATGAATAACTTTCCTCAAGAATAGTGTTTTATTCGAGGAAATTTGGCAACTCTCGAATGTTTATACGGCGTTCTTCCTTAGCACGGAAGTACGGGTCCCTCATGGATTGTCATTACTTACTCCCTTTGTTCATTACATCCACCAACTTCCACCAATAGGATTTTCTCTTAGTCTTCTTCGCCCATCAACTTCAATAATCAGCCTGTAGCTGAAGAGTGGAAATTAAAAACCTAATAGGCGCCATCACTGCCATCAAGTAAGTGTTGCTGGGATAGTGCTCCAAGTTAGATGACCAAAATGTCTCCACTTCATGGACGTTTTAATTGGACATTATGCCTAAATTTTGGTATTAATTTCATTACTAGAATTGTGATAATAGAAATACATATGAGAGTGAGACTTTCACAATGATAGAAAGAGGTTTTGTATCTCCACTCTTCAAACATACCCCTTGGTTCCACCAAAACTTAGTAGTCCAGCTGTCGAGCCAGATGATATTTAGTGACAAAATCGTGACACAAGTTTTGATCACTTATATCAGCACTGACATGGAAAATAGTCGTCTGCCACGTGATGGCACACGCTAGAACGCAACGAGGCAGATGACCATTTTCCATGTCAGTGCATGTAGGGCTATCGAATTAAGTGGTCCGAACTTGTGTCACAAGTTAGTCACTAAAAACTGTCTGGCTCTCAGACTATGGATGGAGCCATTACCTTATTGACCGAATTCCGATTATGATGAAGCTGATTTCTCGATTGCTTACGTTCTATTTGTTAGATTAGCTAATCATCAGATCTATGCGTGTGATATGAGTCCACTATGCTCTATGCTATGATGTGCTTCCCTCCAAGTTTGCTCTCTTTTTTAATGTCTATCTATGGCTTATCCGAGACCGGAGCTGCGCAGTGTAATATAAATGGTGGAACTACGAAAGTGCGCACCTCGATTTTTGGCGGTTTTGATTTAGCTGTATGATAAGTTTCTTGTCTACCATCAAAATATTTGATTCGGAAAAATCGGGCAGTTACACAAAAATGTGAATCAATTACCGCGTATGTCGAGCCGGCGTCTGTGCGATTCTATAGACTACATAAAAAATCAGTGTTCCTTTAGAGATCAAACACGGGGGCTACTCGTCTGTAGTTGCCTGTACCGCCTTTGTTACACTACATGCTGCGCTGTGTGGATGCTCCTCGACATATTTACCGGAATGAAACCCTTAAAAGTAAATCAGTATTTTTTTAAAAAAAAGGGAAACACGAGTGAAAATTTTCAATGACCGAATTAGAGGTCCGTGGTTTGGTTTTCAGCCATCTTTTTTTGTGATTCAGCAACGACACCTCGGGCTCGGTGACCGGTGCTGAAACATACAACTAAGCACATTGCGAATATTCCGGTGCTGGCAAGAAAAGTCAGGGCGCCTTCAAGTGTTGTATATGCAACGCGCATAGCCACGGAACACGATTAGTTGCATTCAGGCACTGTGAACAACTTTACCTCTCTCTGCGCATCTGTATCAAACTGAGTCTCAAAAACTGAGCGAAACGGAGAACAATTCTATTGCGAATGTAAACTTACCAACCCACGTACCTCGATTTGCGACGTTGCCAATCTCCTGCCACATTTTACTTTCCAAAAAAGGTCTGATTGTCATTTGTGCGCTGTTTGGATTTTTTTTCTCCGATTTCCTCGAAAGGATTCTCAGAAGATTTTCATATACATTTCTAAAAAATCGTGCTTTCTGAGATATACACTTTCGCAGTTTTACTGTCGGTACATCAATATACTATGCGCATTTCATGGTTATTCTTTTTGATTAGCGCCTATGCCAACTTAACAGCGAAATGGGAACTTCAACACAATTACCTTTGGCAAAACGAGCCGGCCCTCCGAGAAAGTGCCAGCGGGCATTCTGGGTATGTCTTGGTTCTCGGAAATTGGGGACTGCTCCCCCGGGTACGCCTGAATCGATACCTGGATAATTTTCAGAGCACCCTTGGGCAGTTTCTGTTCCACTAAGGGCGGATGCTTCTCAGCTGAAAGTCGTTTCAATTTTTTGAGAATTTCAGATGAAATCTCCGATGAGTCATCTTCATAATGCGGCAACCAACACTCAACACCGACCGACAGCACCATGACCGCAAGATAAAGAAATAACTTCATCGTGGTTTTAAAATAAGCTAAAAAATGCTTCTAAATTTAACACACAATTTTTGAAAAGAAAACACGATACGCGTAACGCTGACAGCCAACCCTCTGATGCAATCACGGCACTAATTTCATTGTAAATATAAATTTAAAAATGCACTTAAATTTTCAGTTTTTTCAGAGAGAAATGTCCCGGTTGAAACCATGCTCTCACACTAAAAATGGTCAGCTTTTTACTAGACGACTCGGAGACTGATACTAATGACATGTGGGATATCAGCGTTTTAAGTGATAAGCTTTTCGAGCCTTTAATTCGACTTCGTGACCCTGATAACGTGCCGTCTAACTGACATTGTTTCAGTTCCTACGTCATGATAGTTATGCTGACTACGACCAAGTAACCTCGGAGCCCACTTGGGTCTATCTCACTCTTACTTAATCTTCCTGATTTGCTTCTTACCTCCATCTCTCGTCAAAAGCCGCACACCTGTTAAAGTTTTAAGCAATGATTTTTTTTTTTTTTTGGGGGGGGGATTTTGAAAGTTTTGCAATGCGAGCAGTTAGGTCTATTTTTGTACCAAAAGATTATGTTGCTATAACTACTTATTTTGCACTGCCACATAACATCAAGCCTCCACAACTACCGTTCTATTTGATATTTGTCTTGGACTTTCGTGTCCCAAGATACCCTACTTTAAAAACATCTGTAGCAGTGGTACCCATACTTATGGGCTATATAAACATACCGTCCGTTCCGTGCTCAGACACTGAAGGTTCCGGGTGCAGGATTCGTGGCAGCTTCGACTGCTGGGAGTTCAGTAGTCAGAGCAATGGATGCTACACCCAGACCTTTCGGCCTCTTTGCCCGGAGCGGGCGATATATCTACATAGCCCACAAGTGCGGCTTTCACAGCCGGAGTTTTTGGGGTTTTTTTTTACAGTATGAAAACGCCTTCATGCTGCGGGATTTCAATTTTGAGTTTTTATCACAGAAGGCCCATTTTCCCCTTTGAAGATCCGGTTTTCTTTTTTTGAAAATTTGCGTCGCATTGTGGGTTCATCGGTTCTCACCTCCGATTAGCAACCTGCACATCTATATGACTGATTTGAGGGGAGTAATGGTAAAGAGAGAGAGGATGAACACAAAAGAGGAAGAAAGGAAGGCGATGAAGAAGAAAAAGAAGAAGAAGAAGGGGCGGGGGCAGAGTAAGAGGGGGATAAGGAGCGGGGGGTGAGGAAAGGAGGAGGAGGAGAGGGGGAAACCTCTTGTTTTTATAAATTTTAGATTCGCAGTCTGAGCCTGGGGTCGTGTACGGATGGGAAGCTTTTGGCTCGGACTTATGGACTAGCTCTAATGTACCCGGGAGGTCTGGTGGCTATCATCGAATGGGGGCGGCTCCGGCGAGCCCCCACCCCCCTCCCCGTATGACAATGAGGCAGGCAATAATTCTGATTGTAAGTCCATTCTGGTCGCTGTTTCAGCTTCTTGGATCTCGAACTTGACCCCGGCTCTGCAAATAGAGTCATCCATTCCTATCAGACGCCGCTCCCGCCGACTCCCGAGCGGCGCGGGACATCGGTGATGTCTTCTTTTCGACGCACGGTGGCGCCGCGTCGCCGAGTACTAGACAAACGAAACCGATTCCTATTATGTCGGTATTAATACAGTATGAAAACTCTCACGTGACCAATTATTATGGTTGCGGTCGCGAGGGGTACAAAAATAAACCCTCGTAAAAGTATGGTCTTGGGAGGATCCATTGGACGTATTTTTGTCAAACGGAACTAAGCGCCAATTTGAGTTCCTTTTGAGGAATTTAGAATGCCGGATAACGCGTTCTGTCAAACGGAACTAAGCGCCATCGCCATGGAAAAGCATTGCGAGTATAGGAGTATTTGCCTGGTTCCGCCGCCAATCCAAGCCCCCCTCTACCTTCCTCCCCCTATGGCGCTTGGTTCCGTTTCACAGAAATACGTACCATTTCGGATTGGCACACCCAAAGAAAAGATTGACGAAAGTCACATCGACTAAAAAGCGCATTAATCAATAGCTGGCCATCAGTTTGCACATTTATGAAGTTTTTAAATGTGTCGGGGATTTGCAATCTAAGTACTTTTCATTAAAGACAATTTTGAAAAAAACTCTACGGTGCCGATGGTTTTCTCTAAAATCAACTCCCAGGCTCGAAAAAAGCTCTCAAAGTTCAGGCCTTAATGGAGGGGATATCTCACGGTGTGTTAAGAGGCCACCTCCTCAGGTCCTAGAATCAAACTCTTTGCAAAGATAGAGAGCAAATACATCGGCAGGACTGCCTCTTCGTTTAATGACTCCAAAGTTAGAACCACAGTAACTCCTGCAACGGCAATTTGACTTGATACTGAGGTGGCCTCTCAGTATAGCGTGGACTTTCCTCTCCATTTGGGCCTCAACTTTGAGAGCTTTCTGGATTTTTGTGGTTTGTTCTAGAGGTCGCATGTGTTTCTTGCAACATTATAAGATAAGTAGAAGTAACAACACGAATCCCTAAAATATGCTAGAATTCCATTTTCGTGTTTAATGTTGCCAATGTCCGACGTGACTTCCATTCAATCTTTCACTGGGAAGAAAAACACATTGGATCTAGAGTCCAGACTCTTAAAAACATCGACAAGAAAAAATACTCTTGATTCAATCAGATTTATGCTTAAATCAGGAACCAAGCCTCTTAATTTGGGCAGATTTCCTTTTGATTTAAGCTTAAATCCGATTGAATCAAGAGTCAATGTTCAATGTTTTCAGGAGTCTGGACTCTAGATCCAATGTGTTTTTTTTTCCAGTGTTTGATTCCCCCGGTCGTGTTGCTAGCTGTTGGGCCTGATTCTTAAGATCGACGACTCACCGAGCGTCGGGGCATGTGAGCGTAGACCAGTGAACTGGTGCAAGTGGCAGTCGAAGCTAACTGATTGGTTGTCGATGTCGAGCCAGGAGACATGAGCCAAGATCCGAGAAGCGCGGACGCGACGCGCGGCGGCGACGGCGGCGCTGGTGCCACCATCGGCCACCGCCAGAACTAACCAGAAACCGCGTCTCTTCGGCGGCCCCCCTTCGGACTCCCGCTCGACCAATGTCTGATCATGCCCGGAGGCGGGGGCGGGGAGGGGGCTATAGGAGCCGTGATTAGGCCACCGACTCGGCCCCATGCCATAAAAAAGTATCCATGGCAGGGATGCCGTGTTTATCGTCGTTTAATATGGTTTATGTTACGTGGGGGCGATGTTGTCGGGGTTGTAAACGCCGGTGTACACGGTATGGGTTCCTCTAGGTTTTTATCATAATTGGGTGCATTAACCAAACGAGACAGATCTACATTCAGAGTCTTGAAAAAAGTTACCAGATTATTGAAACTATGTCAGCACGACAAGACAAGATTTTCTTTACTATGTTTACTATGCAATATATCCCATTTCGATGTCTTATCGGACTGCTTTAAACTTTCAATAGTCGGCCCGCAGCGGGCTTCATATTGAAATAGATAGACAACGAAGACGGAGAAAATGGAGCGATTCAATCCCATCCCTCCAACCTCTCATTGGGCTCATTCAAAACTATCGTCGTCAATAATTATCTAATGTTTTCATATAGCAGAGACGAGAGACCCTCGACTGGCCTCTTGGCGACAGGTGGAAGCTTCACTCATCACCTTTTTCTCGGCTGTTGACCTGCCTACTGGATGATTGATGAGCTTCGAGTTACCTAAACTTTGGTTCGTTTGCAAAATGAAACTCCCAGCGCGTTGTTAACCATCCACCGAGTAGGTTTGGATATTGCAGTCTCAAAAGTAAGAACTTCCACCATTGCCAAGATACCAGTGGAGGGTCTCTTGTCTTTGCTGCCGAACCACAACCCTTCAGGCATCGAGAACCTTAACACCTCTGCTTCGATCTCATCCCTCCAACTTCTCATTGGGCTCATCCAAAACTATCGTCGTCAATAATTTTCTAACGTTTCCATATACATACACAAGAGTCGCTCTCACAGCGCTCTCCGGCGCTCTGCGACGCTTTACCGCCATAAAACTCGGTCCTCCCACAGGTCATCAGGGAGTTGGCATTCCCTCATCTCATCCATAACCCCCTGTCGCCAACCCTTCACCGGGCGTCCCCTTCGTCTCCTCCCGGGAGGAACCCAATCAAGCATCTTTTTTGGCAGGCTCTCTTCCGTCATCCTAATGACATGACCGCACCAGACAAGCTGTTTGGTCATGACGTCGAACACGATGTCATTTTCGACTTCCATTATCTGACGCATTCTATCATTACGGACCCGATCTCTCCCAGAAATTCCTGCTGACCTCCTCCAGAAAGCCATCTCCGTTGCTCTCAGCATATCCTATGTCCGTTTCTTCAGCTGCCAAACTTCACATCCAACTTCATTTCCAATGTAAATGTTTCCATATTACTGGTTCTTTTTTTTATCTTTAATTATCATCCTCGGTTTTCAATTAACCGCGGTATCGAGCCTCCCCTGTACACAAAAACCTTCTTTTCTGGCGAAGCACGTCGCGTCGCATCGTGTCGGGCAGCCTGAACCCGCGGCGCGAAAATCAGAACCCCATTCTGGAAAGGGGGGGGCAAAGGGGGGATGGGGGGTCGGGGTCGGCGGCGAATTGGCGATTACACTCGCGTCCGCGCGGGGGTTCGCGGAAAGATGGAAAAAGAGGCCGGACTCGGGCTCGGGACTGGTTCTGGTCTCCGAATAAATAATAGCCGCGGCCACGGCCCCAACGAAGCGACGCACAGTAGTTCGAGTCAATCACAGAAGGCGGATATAAAATTTTGGACTAAAATTGAACATTTTGATGACTTTTTCGTCACATTTTAAATTTCAAGGGGTGCTTATTGAAGAAAATTTCAGTAGAAAACCAATGAAACTACTTTTAGAACCTCGAAGTTTTGTATAAACGGAGTTATAAGCATTTAAAGTTTCGAAATTTTGTCCGACCTTTCCCGTTGACTCGATCCAGTGTGCGACGTCGCTACCCGGCCCGGCAACGGAAGGCTCACCGGCAGATAAATCAACCGGAATCAATGCACCGGGCAGAAACGACTTTTTCCAGCCAACTTACACGCACACACTCGCACGCGAGTACACGTACACACCCTCGTGGTCATGTGTGCGAGAAGGCTGCGGCAGCGCTCCCGCCACCCGTTGCATCGCAAATAATGTCCCCCAGTGTAGGGAAAGCGAGGGGGTTCTCCTCCTGGTCGCTACGCGGGCCAACCCG